ACAGAAAAGCCCTCTTGAATAGATCAGTTTTGCATAGTTTGTGGAAAACCAGGAGAGTGGGAGCTTTGCTTGAGCTCCTTGGAAAGGCTATTCCACAAGGTGGAAGCCACAACAGAGAAAGCAAGTATATGGGTAGTTGCTGATTTTGCCTATTGTCAGGTTGGCACCTTCAGAAGCCCCTGCTGACATGAGCAAAGTTGTCATGGCAGAGCATAGGGAGAGAGGCGGTCCCACAAATAGGAGGGGCTGAGGCCATGAAGGTCTTTCTGTGTGATAGCCAGTACCTTAAACTGAGCTTGGTAACAAATGGGCAGCCAATGGAATGTCTGCAGAATGGGAGTAATATGTGTGCTCCATCTATCTCCCACTAACAGTCAAGCTACAGCATTCTGGACCATTTGGAGTTTCCGAGTTGATTTGAGGGAAGACCAGTGTACAGTGCATTACAGTAGTCTAGTCTTGATGTTACTGTAGCACAGATCCAGGTGGCCAGCTCAGCCATATCAGGTCCATCTTATGGGCTAGGATAAGTTGGTAGAAAGTCTTCTTTGCAGCTGCATTAACTTGTTTCTCCAATAATAAAGCTGGATCCAGTATGACCCCAACAATCAACAATCAGTATTAACAAGAAAGCCAGGCTGGAATTCTTCTCCATGATGTCTATGTGAGGGGATTTGGGGTCAGAAGACTTTTTACCCTTGATTCTGTGCTGCCTATCTTCCAGCAGTTGCAAGCAAGAGTCAACCTTCCTCTTTCTGCCTGGTTTGTTTATGGCTTTCTGTGATGCTCATGGAATTGCTGAAGCTTTCAATACTTTATCTCTACCCCCACCTCTTTATTTTTTTTTGTTTAATGTAAATTATAAACAAATATATAGAAAACAGAAGAATAAGCTAGGATGAGCAGATTTTTTGATGTCTTTCCTATTTGTGATATAATCTGTCTCCTGGGGATTTGTTTCAGTGATTTTGAACAGCAAAATTTCTTTCCTCTTAGTTTTCCTCCAGTGTCTGAGGCTGTAGCTGCCAGGGAATATTTTGTAAAGTGCCACTTCAGTTCATAGATCACTGCAAAAGCATGCTTAGGGTTTCAGACTCATGGTCACTGCCCAGTATGCACAATGGAGAGAAATAACTTTTTGAGTTTTCTGGATACACATTTTCATGATTCAGGTAATCTCTGGGAAAATAGGTGTATTATTTCCATGAATCAAAGATCTCTGGAAAATGTAAGATTCTCTAGTATGATTTCAAAATGATTGAAAATATCACATTTGACGATATTACACAGGGCATAGAAGAATAGTTAGTAATTTCAAATGATTCTTCAGAAATTTTGCTGACCAAAGAAACCATTGTATCAGTAATAGAACTTCCCCTTTCCTCTGTAAACCTTCAGAATTCCCATTTGAAGGAGCTCTTGGGTGAGATATGTGGAACCCTTGTGATGGATGGTCTGTGATGACCCAGCAATTTAGGAGCTGCATATTGAGATTGATTGCTTTGTCTGATCTTACCCATTACAAATTAGCTGCTGATCAAGCACAAAAGCTGTGATAATATTTGCTTTTTCATTGGACTTGTTAACTAAGTGGTTACAGGACTTCAGTAATACCAGAGAGCTGAAACAGCTACACCAACAGTACAGTAGTATCTACCTCCTTGCTGTCTCTCTCCCCACGATCTAGGTCAGTAGATTTGTTTAAGGGCTTTTATTATCATTAGTTAACTATGTCTTGGCTGACTTTGATCATTCTCTGCATTCATTCAGCATATGCAAAGGTCTCCCCTCCTGTGTATGTGTATGAAGAGCTGCATATATGCACAGCTGCATGCAAGGACAGGGTTGCACCATCCCTTGCATGTTTTAAAAAAATCTTTTTTTAAACATGCATTTTTTCAAACGAGCACAGTTAAGGAATATAAACACTAAAATGCTAATTACATTTATTCATGAGTAATAGCCTTTTTAAAGGCTATTCATATAATTAGCAGGTTTGCAACTGGCATTAGGAAATCTGGTGCTGGCATTTTCCTAGCTAGCACAGTGAAGATACTGAAGTTTTTAAAGTGTGATAGGTGGGAGCTTCCCTCTAGTGGAGAAAGAGGGCACAGCATAGTGGCCATCTACAAAAGCAGGTTGATGCTGATTGCTAGAATAGTAATTTGGTTAACACACAGTTCAGGGTATTTGCTCCCAGCAATGAATATTTAGTGCGGGAGAAAACTTTTTCAATCATATATAATTTATAAGTAGGCATATATTGGGGGTAATTCATGCATGGTTTTTAAAAAGTAATGGAATTAACTACAATTTCTGTGGTTTCTGTTTTATAGTCTGAATTGTCAGTAGTAATTGTCAGTAGTACAATAGTAATAGAAAGCCAGTAAACAGCACTAAAGACAGCAGTGCCATGTCAGAGAATCAGTTCACCTTGTTATCACCAAATGCCTTCTGAAATAAAGCAGTCTTCATGCACCTCAGGAAGATAATGAGGTTGTTCTGAAGCCTGGAGACCACAGCTGAGAAGGACCTATTGCAAGTGCACATCAGGTTCATCTCTGTTAAGCTGAGCATGCAGAGGAAGGGAACAACAGCTTATCTCCAATCATATAGGCAGGGGCAGCCCCTAAGGTACCCAGTGTTTAGGGCTTCATGGTATACACGGAGCTTCAGAACTGAGCCCAGAAACAAACTGATAGCCAACAATGTCCATGCAATTTCACAAACTGATAGTATGTGTCCTCTGCGGCAACTTTATGAACTAGTGTATTTCTCTGCCACAAGTCCCAATTAAAGCACATGCTGTCACACTTTGTAGCTCCACATAGGGTCTTATTTACAGAATGTTACTGCCTCTGTGCCCTCCAGGAACATTTGCTACTAACAAACCTATTCAGCTGGTAAAACCTATTCAGCTACCTCTACAACCTGCTGAGGGGGACAGTAACCCCATCAGGTACTTGCTGTAAACCTAACTCTAGTTCTTTGTTTCTGACCGACAGCATAAGTATCAGTCCCCCCCCCCCCACATCTAACCTTTCACTTCTTGGTACTAATAAAGGGTTTTCACTGCTTCCCTGGAATGAGATAGGAAGGAAAGACAGAGATGTATGCTTTCAGCATACTGGTGATACTGTACATCAGATCTCCAGATGATCACTGGAATATGGAACCCCATAGGCCAATGTCCAAAGGTTGGAGCAATAGTTTCTCAACCAGTGTCCCAGGAAAGGCCAGAACTACTGAAAGTCAATGCATCCCAGTACTGTCCTAGCTAGATGGTGCACAGTGAATGCTGGTATTAATAGCTTCAGACAGCTGCACAGTGAAGACCATCTAGCAGGTGACCAAGGCAGAACTATGTCAGAAGCCTGACTGAAAAAGCTCTAAATTATTTATTTATCTTTGGATTTATATCCATATTATCCATCAGTATCTAGAGTTGAGACTCTACCACTCATTCAAGCACTTTGCCCCTCCCCCAGCAAGTTAGACACAGGATAATCATTCAGATCTGAAGGGCCCAAAGATGGAAGGGATTGGAGTAAAGATCTTATAAATGCCACCTGAATGGGTTTCTTTCTTAGTGGAACATTGTGTGTCCTACCTTGTGCATGAACCACTCTTTGGCTGATCTTGATTTTCTTTAGTAACAGTGGCTTGAATTCAAGGATACCGCTGTGAAGGAAAAGGCATTTCTGCCCAAAAGTGCATGTGGATAATCTTTGACTGCCACCTTCCCACTCTCTCTGGAGGCTCCTGGGGGACATTTTGTGGAAGTTGTAGATACAGGAGATACTATGCCCTCTCTTCTTGAGCAGAAGTGTCTTCTAGCAAAACCTTGGGATCCAAGCCATATTCCTGATGAATGTTAAAAACCAATAATATGCTGGTGGTTGTTCTATGTTTGGGGCTTCTCTTATTAACTGATGGTGCAAGCTGACAAGTAGAATCTTTCAATCCAAGCGAGATTTCCGCATGCTTTATTTGGCTAAGCATTTATAAAATAGACTGTAACCTCATGTATGTGCTTGGATTGTTTCAAGTGATCTAGGATGTAAGGTAAAAGGCCTCTCTCATTCAGTGAAGTGGGGGATACTCAGCTGGCATCTCTTCAGGTACAATAATTGCTATAATTCAGCAACCATAGCTACAGCACAATATCTACTGAAATGGAACCTTTAAAGAGATCCCCACTAACTTCTTGGAAAGGAATAAAGGTTGTACAGCTGTTGCATGTTACTTGACAGAGTTCAAATATAGGAAGACTTTGCTAGAAGCACAGAAACAGTAAAAGGAGCAAGTTCCTCCTCTTTTCTTTACGCACAAATCAGAACAAATTGCTGTGTGCAAAGAAAAATGCAGTGAGCTCATAATAGAAGTTATGTGAATGAGTAATCAGCGTCTTATTCTGTAAAAATGATTCTTAGTGAAATAATAAGTGGGCACAATATAAGCAACTCTAAGATTTGTTGGATCAAATTTGTACTTATTGTTTGTTTCTCTGTGAAGTAACGTTACTTCCTACTGTACCACTTGGACTCAGCCATGCCATGATATCTTCAGGCGGCCCTGTTAGCATCTGCTTCATACTAGCTGCCCATAATCACCATGATTATGAACATTATGTAGTTCATTAGTGAGTTGCCCTTCATGCGTTGAACTGTGAGTATCAGATCCCCTTTTTATATGGCAGCGTTAGGCATCAGTAGTCTGACTAATATTTCCTCTTGGTAGTACACATACGATTGCAATGCAAAAAATAAATTCTGACCATGCAGTCAGTCTCTTTCTAGCCTATAGCAGGCAGTGGCGTGTGAAATATGTAAGCTAGCTCCTAACTGTTTTCTTACATTTAGTAGCAAAGCTGCTTTAAAGGGATATGTGTTTATTATTGTCAGTTTCATTTCTGCTCTGTCTGTGATACTAATGCTATTTCCATTTGTTGAAGAACACGTCACCCCACCCACCCCCATTTTCCTTATTGTATGTTTTAGGTTACCATGGACTCTATTGTGAGGAGGAATATAATGAATGTCTTTCAGCCCCTTGTCAAAATGGTGCCACCTGCAGAGACCTTGTCAATAGCTATGAATGTGTGTGCCTTGCTGAATATGAAGGTAAGAGATGTATTTCTATAACACCGGTCAGTTTGTGCCTTACTGTAAACTCAGCTAATGTGGTTTATTTATTTAGGCAGTTTTGGTGGAAAATTATGCAGGGGTCTTTTTAAAAACCTGTGAATTTGGTGTGTAATCTGGGAACACCACCTATAGTGTATAACTTCTCTGACAGCTTTTTTCCTTGTGACTGAACCTGGCTCTGTGCAGACAATGACTTCTGCAGCAGCATTTCCCCTTTATTAGCACTGTGGCTCAAGGCATGATCCAGCAATTGTAGCTTGATACCTTACAAATGCAGGGGGGGGGGGTTTCCTTCTATTTAAAGCCACTTCCATTAATCTCATACAATTTGATAGAGCAATACACTTGACTAGAAGCAAAAGCCACTTCTGATCTAGTCAATTTCACTCCAAAGAGAAGAAGGTGAGTTATTTTCTTGAATATGCAGGAGAAACGCCTATAGCATTCAAAGGAAAATAGATTTTAAAAAAAATAAGAATTGATTGAATGATGGGAGTGGGTAGCAGTATCCGTTTCTTCAGGGGCACATCATAAATAGTATGCACATAGTTGGAAGAATTGTGGCTTGGATCCAATGATGCGGGAGTGGAAACTAAAATGTACTTTCCACAGTTCTGCTTGCACAGGCAAAGACTGTAGTGACATTTAGCATTTCAACAACATTTTAAACAAAATAATAGTGTGGATATTGAACAATAAAATGTACAAGAGATGGTTTGCATTGTTTTATTTAATTTCTTTTTGGCATAGTATCAGAAGAAATATCTTGCACTCTCTCTTGCACACATTAAAAGAATTAGGGGTACAAACTCTTTCACTTAGTGCAAGTAGAGGGTGAGGAGCAATTTGAGCACTTGTGTTTGTGCCAGGACTGTTGTGCACATGGAAATCTTCTGTGGGGTCCCCAAACTATATGCACACATCATTTATCCACTTCCAAAATATACAGAAAACTTTGAAATTGTACTGACCATGATGGAAAGGGTTAAATTGCATTGCTTCTCATCAGTGTTGTTACAAGAAATGTCTAATAAGATAGGTGTAGACAATGTTGGCAAACATATCTAGGTGGACACATCTCTTGCAGCCAGCGCTGGTTATACTCTTGGGTCATCAAAGTAACTCTCAATCTGTGTGGGCTGCCAACAGAAGGAACAGCCACTCTCTGTCTGAAGGGTTAGGCAAAGTGGATACATTTAATTATCCAAACTATCCTGACAGATCACCATAACGTTGCCCCCAGACCTCTAGTTAAGGCTGCACAGAACATCCAGGGGGATCTGTGTGGATGTGACTGCTGACATGAACCCAGCAAATGGTAACACAAGCGAGATCAATAACATTCAGACCGAGGTGCTTTATTTTCCATTCAGCAGCAGCAGTTAAAGATTATCAGTGCAATCTTAAACAGAATGGGTGATAGAAAGTGCCATCAAGTCATGGCTGACTCAGGGTGACCTTTCATGGGGTTTTTCAAGGCAAGAGATGAACAGAGGGGGTTTGTCATTGCCTGCCTCTGCATCACAACCCTGGACTTCCTTGGAGGTCTCCCATCCAAGTACTAACCAGGGTCAGCCCTGCTTAGCTTCTGAAATCAGGCCAGCCTGGGCCATCTAGGTCAGGGCTAAACAGAGTTATACCCATCTAAATCCATTGACGTTAGATAGGATTGCTCTGTAGGGATTCCACTGAGTTCAACTCCCAAACATTCCAAGACTGGGGCGGGGGAGAGGTGATGCAAAATAAGTACAACTTGGCCCTGGTAGTCCCCCCCCCCCCGTCCTTTCGCAGACTTCTTCCACTAGTCATGAAATAACTGGACCCAAATTATCTCATATTAATTTGTATCTCCTGTCTAATCTGGTGGTTTGAGATTTGTCTTCTTCTTGACCATGCTTTATTGCAGCTTCTCCCTCTGAGGTGGAGGCCATCTTGTGGGTGATTCCCATCCGTCAATCAGGGAGGCAGGAACAAAAAACAACTTCCTGTTTCCTGTGGTGGGAGTCACCCCAGGCTCAGTTTCTTTCCTGCCTCAAAGGGGAGAGCAGCTTGTTAGGTTACAGCTAACAAACTTCGTTATTCTGTTACTAGTTCTTTTACCTTTCCTATTATTCTTACTGTTATAGTACTTTACCATCTTTACTGCCGTTCCTTCTTCAAAAAAAAATAAAAATCTCCTCAGTTGATCTTCACTCACCACTCTCCCCCCCCTCCCACCTGCTTCTTGGGAGCCTTTCTGACGCAGCGACTACTTTTTAAAAAGCTGCATCGCGCTGCTAGCGCTGCCTAAATATCCGCACGATGGATACTTCGATAGCGGACGACGGGTTTTTGACAGCTCCCAATGCTGCGCTGGCCGGGAGGAGCACCGCGGAGCCGGCGGCGGTTAAACGGACGGCTCCGGAGTCAGAAGCAGGCCGCGATCAGGGCGCAGTAAAAAAGCGCGCCAAGGTGAAACGAACGGAGCCCGGAGCCGAAGACGGCGGCGGCCATGTTGAAGCAGTACAATACTGATGCTTCGTCCACTGGGGATTGCCGTAAGTGCGTAACCCCACGCCCCGAGCCCAATCTGATTCATGGGCATGAAACCGGACCTGTCGTTACAAGGGGCCATTCTGAGGGGGAGAGTTCCAGTCTGCATCAACAAGCCGGTAATGTCACCGTACCCGGTTCCCCCCCCTTTCTGCTAGAGCGATGGACTTTCTGAGACAGGCCATTAGGGAGGAAATAGCCCGCTCCCATGGGGATGAGAGGGAAAATCGCCCAAGATCCCCACCCCAATTTCAACACACCCTTATTTCTAATAATTCCTTACATGGAGCATGGCCCACAAAGGCGGCTCAAAAAGGTTACCCAAGCGGGGGTGCAAGGTTTAATCCCCTAGAGGACGACTACATGTCTCAGGGCTCCAGCGAACCAGAGGAAGGGGAGTTTTCCTCCTCTGAGGAGGATAAAGGAGACGGGAGGAAGCCAGTAAATTCAGAGCAGTCCTCTCGTTTTTTCAAAGGGGAGGATATACAGTACCTTCTCTCTAAGACACTTTCGGCCTTACATATTCAAAATGCCCAGTCCTCATCAGGGCAAGCTGAAGGGGGGACTGGCAGACAAAGGGATGAGGTCACTGATGAGTTTTTCCCACCTGTGGAGGACTCAGAACAAGCCTTCCCATTTCCAGAATTTTATGTGCGGAAAATTAAGGCAGAGTGGCTAAAGCCGATGGGAAATAGGACGCCTTCTAGTTTTTTGAGAAAATTGTACCCAACTTCATCTGCTGCTACTAGTCTTTTGCAGGTTCCAGTCGTTGACGCACCGGTGGCGGCACTACAATCGTCTGGCCTTGTCTCAGAAGAGGGTCATGGCACATTACGCAACAACCTGGATAGGCGGGCAGAGTTTGCCTTAAAGAAAGCACATGAGGCTAATGCTATGTCAATTAAGTCCTCGGCGGCAGCATCCACCGTGGCTCGGGCCTCCATCGTGTGGATGCGCAAATTGATACAACTGCTTCCAGAAAATAACCCCAGGTTAATGGAAGGAGCCACCAGGTTACTGACGGCCATATCATATATGGCTGATGCCACATTAGATTCCATGGTCTCTTCAGCCAAAGCTATTGCGTCTGACGCTGCGGTAAGAAGGTTAGTCTGGCTGAGGTCGTGGTCCGCAGACTACCAGTCCAAAGTCATTCTCGTTACTTATCCTTTCCAAGGCGATAAACTTTTTGGGGAGCCTCTGGACCGGATCCTGGTCGAGACTCGCGACAAGAAAAAAGCCTTACCAAAATTTGTGCGAATGGGAGAAAAGCCGTCCACGTCTAACTCCTTTCGCACGCAACATACCCTACCCAGGTTTAGACAGGATTACAGGAGACAGTCCTGGAATAATAGTAGACAGCCCTTTCGTAGGGGAACGTTTAACAACGGTAATACGGCCAACAGATTCCAGAGGCAAAATATGTTTAGACAGGACAGGGGAGATAAAAATCCCAAACAGGCAAGAGCATGACTACCAACAAATTCCAGTGGGAGGTCGTCTGGCACTATTCCGAGATACATGGGCACAGTCACATCCCAACCCCTGGACCATGGGAGTAGTGTCAGACGGCTACAAAATA